CCTACTGTCGTCAAAAATGTCATCTTGGCCAGAACCCAGGAGTAATGGAAACAGGACCATTAACAGAAGTGACTCAGCCCGTAGTCGTGTCTGTTCCAGCACACACGCAGGCCCTGACAAGCAATGCACTTCAGTGGATCCAGAGATCATTGCTTATTGAACAATTCAGATGTTATGCAGAGGAACAGAAAGCCTTGGGGTGTTGGCCTGTTACTACCGGCTCTGAGTCTGCAGGCCAGAAGCTGTGTGTCTGACTGCTCATTCGCTTGAGTTATTTGAAATACTTGTCCCTGCGAAAAGTCAGATGAATTGAATTGTGGGGGTTCAGAAGCTATTTCAGCAAAATTAAGATATTTTAAAAACCACAATAATACCTACCTCTAAAAATTTTTGCATAGCAGTAGTAAGATGAAATGCAAGGTGTCCCCCCCCCCCCCCGACTTGCCTCTTGCCTAATCACAACAGTTTGGTTAGTGGGGGCTTAGTGCAGCCATCAGAAGATGAGGCTACAGAAATGAACATGGCCCCTGCCCTCCTGTTATATTCTAGTGGGAGGAGACAGAGCACAAGCAAGGAAACAAACTGAGAAGACTGCTCTACTTTCAGGTGGGATCTGAATGAGGGAAAAGAATCAGTGTCGAGCCTTTGAGGGAAGAAATCTCCAGAAATATTGCTACAGTTTGAGTTGTCCACAGGGCAACAGCTTTGTCCCAGATATTGACAGAATAGGGCAGCAGAGGAGCTTTTGTGTGGATGACACAGTGGAAAGGTGGTTACCAGGATGCGTCCTCGAAGGAGATTGAACACTGGCCCCTTCCTCCCTACCACCCCACGACTTCCCAGCCCTGCTTTGTTTTCTGGCTTATCTCAAAGTGAGCATCTTTGTTCCACGGGTGCTGCCCACCATGATGCTCAGCCTTGAGCCAGCCCCAGAGCAGCAGGCTAGCCAGCAGTGGGCTGCAAGCTCTCAACTCTGAGCCATGATAATCTTCATTATTTTTAAAGTTATTTCTGGTATTTTGTCTCAGTGACAGAAAGCTGAGATAATGATTGAGGGGTAGGTGCAAGAGGCCATGGAATTTATAGGGGGCCTCTTTGCTGGCACTTTCTGTAGTTGGAATTTTCTTTGGGCCACCAAACAGCTCCCAAATAAAGACATAGAGACTTATTAATCATGAATGCTCAGCCTTAGCTTAGGCTTGTCCCACTAGCTCTTTTAACTTAATTTAACCCGTTTCTATTCATCTATGTTTTGTCTTGAGACTTTTTACCTTTCTTTCATTCTGTACATCCTAATTTCCTGCTTCCTCTTAGTCTGGCTGGCCCCTGGCATCTCTTTTTCTTTCTTCATGGAGCCTAAATTCTTCCTCCCTGCCTGGAAGTTCTACCTACACCTCCCCCTTAGCTATGGACTGTTCATCTTTTTATTAGACCAATCAGGTGCCTTAGGAAGGCAAGGTAAAACAGCAACATATCTTTACATAATTAAATGCGACACATCTTTACATAGTTAAACAAATGCAATACATTATTGCATAGTTAAACAAATATTCTTTTTTTAAATTTATTTATTTATTTATTAAAGATTTCTGCCTCCTCCCCACCACCGTCTCCCATTTCCCTCCCCCTCCCCTGATCAAGTCCCCCTCCCTCATCAGCTCGAAGAGCAATCAGGGTTCCCTGACGTGTGGGAAGTCCAAGGACCACCCACCTCCATCCAGGTCTAGTAAGGTGAGCATCCAAACTGCCTAGGCTCCCCCAAAGCCAGTACGTGCAGTAGGATCACAAACCCATTGCCATTGTTCTTGAGTTCTCAGTAGTCCTCATTGTCTGCTATGTTCAGCAAGTCCGGTTTTATCCCAGGCTTTTTCAGATCCAGGCCAGCTGGCCTTAGTGGGTTCCCGATAGAACATCCCCATTGTCTCAGTGTGTGGGTGCACCCCTCGCGGTCCTGAGTTCCTTGCTCGTGCTCTCTCTCCTTCTGCTCCTGATTTGGACCTTGAGATTTCAGTCTGGTGCTCCAATGTGGGTCTCTGTTTCTGTCTCCTTTCATCACCTGATGAAGGTTAATATTCAGGAGGATGACTATATGTTTGTCTTTGGATTCACCTTCTTATTTAGCTTCTCTAGGATCACGAATTATAGGCTCAATGCCCTTTATTTATGGCTAGAAACCAAATATGAGTGAGTACATCCCATGTTCCTCTTTTTGGGTCTGGCTTACCTCACTCAGGATAGTGTTTTCTATTTCCATCCATTTGTATGCAAAATTCAAGAAGTCCTTGTTTTTTACGGCTGAGTAGTACTCTAATATGTATATATTCCATACTTTCTTCATCCATTCTTCCATTGAAGGGCATCTAGGTTGTTTCCAGGTTCTGGCTATTACAAACAATGCTGCTATGAACATAGTTGAACATATACTTTTGTTGTATGATAGGGCCTCTCTTGGGTATTGCTGGGTCCAGGGATAGGTTGATCCCGAATTTCCTGAGAAACCGCCACACTGCACTGCTTTCCAGAGTGGTTGCACAAGTTTGCATTCCCACCAGCAATGGATGAGTGTACCCCTTTCTCCACAACCTCTCCAGCAAAGGCTATCATTGGTGTTTTTTATTTTAGCCATTCTGACAGGTGTAAGATGGTATCTTAAAGTTGTCTTGATTTGCATTTCCCTGATCGCTAAGGAAGTTGAGCATGACCTTAAGTGTCTTTTGGCCATTTGAACTTCTTCTGTTGAGAATTCTCTGTTCAGCTCAGTGCCCCATTTTATAATTGGGTTGATTAGCCTTTTACGGTCTAATTTCTTGAGTTCTTTATATATTTTGGAGATCAGACCTTTGTCAGTTGCGTGGTTGGTGAAGATCTTCTCCTAGTAAGTGGGTTGCCTTTTTGTCTTATTGACAGTGTCCTTTGCTTTACAGAAGCTTCTCAGTCTCAGGAGGTCCCATTTATTCAATGAGGCCCTTAATAAACAAATATTCTGTACAACTTTCTGTTCTGAATAAGAAGTTCCAGAAAAGTAAGTTCAGCTTAAGCCAAACATGATAGAGTGTTCCAGATCCTACCAGAAACAGCATCACAGACAGAATGTAGAAACAACCTGAAAATCTGTATGCCTTCTATTGTCTTTGCATGTAAAGATACTTGCACGTTTTTAAATGCCAGTAATTCTTTTTAATTTTTTTTTAAAATTTATTATGTATACCGAGCTCTGCCTGCATGTATCCCTGCAGGCCAGAAGAGGGCATCAAATCTCATTACAGATGGTTGTGAGCCACCATGTGGTTGCTGGGAATTGAACTGGGACCTTTGGAAGAGCAGCCAGAGCTCTTAACCACTGAGCCATCTCTCCAGCCCCAATGCCAGTAAATTTTAAAGTAACAGATGTTCGTTAAAGCCTGCCATTTATGTTGACATTGCTGCTTAAGGATTTTTGTTTTTTTATTTCCATAGTACGGTATTTATCCACAGATGCAGCCTATACAAAGGGAAGTTTGGGAGACCTTTACTGTGTGAAGCAGGTCCCGAGACACAAAGGCTGAAAACCTCTCATTATTCAGACAGGTTGAACTGACTGACTTAGCTAACCCAGGAGTGAGTCCTCCGTTTTACTGCCAGAACGCCATGGTAAAGATGAAGCCTTAATTGCTCTTTTAAAGAACAAATTCATATTATGATGTTTTCTTGAGACAGGAAAAAGAGTGACATTTTGGAAGAGTGGACAAGAGAACTTTCAGAATGTCTCTTGGGTGCAGAGGGAGCAACCACACCCCATTAATGGTCTGGTTTAGGGGGCAAGATAATCACTGGCAGTAACTAGTTTCTCGCTAGCTTCAGCCCTGCATCCCAAAGCATCTTGCTATGTTTCCGGCTGTCATTCATGTGTATTCAACATCTAGTCCGTCCCTCTCTTCTTATATCCAGTATTTCTGCGCCTTGATCTTCCATCTAGGATTGAGGGTATGTGTAGTCCTCATTTCTCTCTCTGGTTCTTTGGTGACCGTGGCGTGCATATTTCTTGTTTTCTTTTTGTGCTGTTTTGGTCTCAAACTGCTCTCAGGACTCACTTAAAAAACCAGAACTGTTTTTCTCCTCGAGTAAACCTCTGGCCAGAACCCCACCACCTCGCTCTTTACTGGGATTTCTCCATCTAGGTTCTTCCTTTCCTCGGGGAATTTTAGGCAGACATGGTAGGGAGGGACAGGGGGATTTGGCGTTGTGCCGGTTATGTGTTTTCTCTGCACCGCGTGGGTCTAGGGAGTTTTTTCCGTCAACTTACAGTTCACAGGTGCCATTTCTTAGTTTTCCCCTTGCAGCTGTCTCCTCTGTAGGCCCGATTCTTCGCCTAGTTTGATTTTTTTTTTCTGTGTTTTACTCACATCACCCAGGCTAGCCTCGAGCTCCCACTGTACTCGAAGATGACCTTGAACTTCAGTTCTGCCGGCTCACAGACGCGCACCCTCACGTGCCTGCGCGACATGAGCTGTCTGGGGACTGAACCCAGGGCTTCACCGACAGTATCCGGGCCCCTAGTTTTACACGGATTTTGTACCATTGACACGTTCTGCACTCAAGATTCCCGAGGCCACAACCTCTCTCCCCCAGGGCCTGACCTCATTTTGGGTGCCCTTCGGTGTCTCTCCATTCTGGAGAGCGCACCCGGCTCTCCTGGGACCTCCACTTTTGCTCCTTGAGGAGCCTTGGGGTTCGGGGGGGCCTCGGAGGCCGGGCTCTAAAGAGGCTAGGACCCTCCCCCTGGCCCCGCGGAGAGCTGGGGGGCGGGGAGCCACGGCCGGGTGAACCCGGGCGTAACAGGTGCGGTGGCCGCAGCTGCGCCGGGGGAGAGCCGCTCGGCGGCCTTCGCTCGGGGGTTTTCGGAGCTTCGCCCTCTCCGAACCAATGCGGGTCGCGGTTGTTCGTCGCCTGGCAACCGGCGGAACCAATGGGCGGCGCCAGCGCGGGGCGGGGTGGGATGGGCTGCCGCCGCGGAAGGCGGCGAGAGGCCGGGCGGGCTAGAGGCTGCGCGGAGCTGCGGGCCGGGCGGGGGAGCCGCTGCGTGCCGCCGCGGGTGCGGGCGGGCGGGCCCGTGGGCTGCGGGAGGCGCGAGCCGCTCCCGGTGCGGTGACGGTGAGCGGCGGGATTGTGACGCGCAGCCGGGGAGGCCACCGGGCTGGACGTGGGCGCAGACACCGGGGCCGGCTCTCGGCGGGCTCGGCGTGGCCGTTGCGGCGGTTGTAGAGCGTTGCTGCCCGCCGCCTGCAGCGGGAGGTGCGAGGTAGGTACCAGGGGGCTCCCCGCGCCCTTGCGGGATGTGACGCGGGCGAGCACGGGCGGGGTCTGCTCGGCGCGCGGGCTCGGCGATTTCTCAGTGGCTACCACAGGACTCTAGCGAGTGGTCCACGGCTGCTGCAGGGGAAGGTGCTTCGTAGTGGTCCAGCCCCACGTTTAGTGGGAGAACTTGCATCATCGCCCCGGTAGGCTTGCTTGAGAAATCATTTGGCCTCGGGTTTCCCAGGGCAGTTCAGTGAATGGCGAGCTCTGGTCAGCATGCATTTCTCCTAGTGCAGATCCCTGGGTTATGCAAGTCACCTGGGCCCAGGAAATAAAACTTGCCAAATAATTCCTCATCAGCACCAGTAGAGGAATCTTGGCATTAACACCTTCAGTTCGGGCTCCTTAGTCCTGAGTGTCAGACTAATAAGTGGGGACGCTGATGCAGTTGTGAGAGCTGGGATTTCCTTCGAGAGTCTAGAATCTAGACAATATGGAAGGTGGAGGGTTCCCCAGCCCAAAGGTGAGAGCTTCCTGGATTTGAGATTTGCTTCCATTCGGGTTAGAGTCCAAACTGGGAGTTACATGAGAATAGTGCGGCCGTGGAACCGTTGAGCTGGAAGAAGACCCTTCTAGCCCATGATTAAGTCTCGAGCTGGAAAGGTCTGTATATGATATGACATGTTTACAAGGCTGGATAAAGTTTGAAAAGATCTGGATTAGAAACATGCTGTCTTGAAATTTGAACAGTGGCAGATTTGTAAACTTCAATCCAGCCAAATTTAACCCGTCCAGTCTCCCTCCTCCAGGAGAGCCCGTGGGCCCAGGGAGCTGACAGCGTTCATTCAGACTAAACAAGTCTGAAAAGCTGGGACACTTTGTCCCCCGCCTGGTGTGCATGAAAGTCCCTCACACAAAAAGGTTCTCTACATGGAGAATTAGGAATGGATAGAATTCAAACCAGGGCTTTTTTGGTGACTGGTGGGGCCCCTTCAGCTTAGTCATCTTACACCCTTCCTTCCCCCCATTCCCCATCTGTACAGTGAAGATAATAAGGGCCAGGGATTAAGTAACCGGGTGAAGAGCTTGAAGAAGGATGTGGAGACGCGGTTATTCTAGGTGGGAGTGTGGAGCGCTCTCCATAACACATTGAGGCTTGTGACAAGGCTTGTGCCTAGCGTCTGGACCTGCTGAGGCAGGTATATATGAAACAGGAAGGTTAACTGTAGTTTTTATTTTGTTTTGTTTTAATACCAGAGGCCTCAAACCTAGCCCAGTCAAATTATGTACCTGGGTTCTCTTAAAACCGGACAAACCAGCTCTTTGGGCCAAACTGCCTAGGATGCAGATTTTGTGAAAGTGTCCTCATTTAGCGTTCGGCTAGAGACGAAGACTGTCCACCGCGGTTTGAATTCATGTTTGAATTGGAACAGTAAAGCCTAGTGTAGCCCTCATGCCTTCTATCCCGTTTACACAGGCACTGAGGCAGGAGAATAACTTGAGTTTAGGAGTGCCATCCAGCCAAAGTGGGATGATGTACTGATGCTATTTAAAAAGAAACAACACCCCTTCATTCTAAAAGCCCTCACCCCATCCCTTGGGGCCCCAGACCCAGGACCAGGCATACTTTAGGCAAGTGTTCTATTGTTGAGCCAAATGCTCCTTTATCCTGAAGCTGGGTTGCTCTGTCACTCAGCCCCAGGTAGCTGGGGTTATTGCCCTGTGACCCTAGGCCCAGCTACTCTATCTTTTACAATAGCTGTGAGCACAACTTGTTGACAGCCTTTTGTTCCTAAGAAGAGGCTGTGTCTTGGGTAATTATGGCCCCCTAGTAATGAGCATACCTCTTACCTTAAAATCACGGGCTTATGGGATGAGAGAGTGGAGAAATACGGCATTCATTTCATTATTGGTAACGGAAAACCATAGACTCACCATTTGATTCAGGTCCAGGATTCTATATAGCGTAGAGCAGATTTATTATGTTAATAAATATATTCTTTCAATAAACATCGGGCACTCAGCGGCTACTGCCAGGCCTAAGGCTGAATACTTTGTACTTAGGGACTTTTCTGTGTGGGGAAGGGGAAAAGGCAAACATGGGAGGGCTTTTGAAAGGCGTCTCAGCGGTGTCCTGCCAGGGGCTCACCAATCATCAAATAGGCGCAGGTTACAGGTGGCTGCTGGAGCTGCGGGAGCCATCGGAGTCCAGACAGTGCTGTGAGCCTTGACCAGAAGGCAATAGGAATGTCTAAACCGTTTTACTGGGGGTTCTGTTGCTCCTGACATGGTAGAGTATGTACACCCACATCAGTAAGTGGCACCATCCATGGGGCTGTAGACCTCGATGGGTCAGGGACTGCCAGAAAGTAGCCGCTTTTCACAGGACACTTATCTGGAGCTCACAGAAACCTTAAAAAAAAACAGCAATGGTTCCTCACAAGCAGGTCTGTATCAAGCTTTTTTCATTGGCCTCCAGTTCACAAATAACACCACCAAATTTATTATTATGAAAGCTTGGGCATTAGCTTAGGCTTGTGTCAACTAGCTCTTAAAACTTACCAGGACAGGCTCCAAAGCCACAGAGAAACCCTGTCTCGAAAAACCAAAAAAAAAAAAAAACTTAAATTCATCCATAGTTTTTAAACCTATGATCTACCACGTGACTTTTACCACTCTCCCATTGTGTCCTATTCACTCTGGTCTGGCTGGCATCTCTGGCTCACCTAGATTCCTCCCTATGACTTCCTTCCTCTCTGCCTGGAAGTCCCACCTCTCCTCTCCTGCCTAGGCCAATCCAGTAGGCCATTCAGCTTTTTATTACACCAGTGACCCCAACACCTCTTCACACAATGTGCAAACAGCCCGCAACACAGGTCCTGTGGAACTGTCTTCTGTTACTGGCTGGGTGGCAGAGCTCCAGAGTGGTGAAGATGCTGCCCACCAGTGGGCCACAGTCAGAGCGCCGGGCAGAGCCTGAGAGATGGAGGCCCAGAAATGCCAGGGAAGCAGTGCGAGGTTCAGAGACGAGCCATGTGAATGAATAGTGAGGTCTTATGGAAAGGAAACAGAATTGTCTGGTGGCAGTCTGGAGTGCTGTGCACGCCTCTCTTCCCTCCCTCGCCACGCTGCTGTTCTTATGTTTGTCGTTGGCGAGGAGGGATGGTGACAGTGACCTACTACATGAGGCTGTGCTGGTTGCATAAGTGTATGTTTGGAGCATGTCCTATGTGACAGGTGCTTGTAATTAGCCAGGCCTGGTGGCACATGTAAAATCCTTGCCTCCTGGAGGCTGGGAAAGGAGGATTCCAAGTTCAAGGCCACCCTGGGCTCCTAGATAATCCCTGTCTGAAAAATACTAAAGCAAAGACCTAAATGTGATTCAACACAAAATCCTAAGTTCACTTAAAATAAGAAATTTGGGTGAGGTTTTTTGAATTTTGTTTTGTTGTAACTGGATTTTGTAGTTCTTGTGGGTGAACTTTGTGCATGGTGTCATTTCACAATGTCAAAGGTTGGCTGTGTCTGCCCTCCACTTTAGTCCCCATCGAACACTTCTGTATGTTCTGTACTGATCTTGTCTCTACGCATCTACCCAAACCCAGTTTCATTAATTTTATCCCTCTTCCCAGAATTCTCGTTGTCCTGCCTCTACTTCCTACCTGGTCATCACGCCTATACTTCCCGCCTGGCTACTGGCCAAACAGCGTTTATTTAAAATACAAGTGGCAGGGTACAGACCATTGTCCCACAGCATCTTCCATCAGCGTAGGGCTGTACCTCCCCAGTCGTCTCCTGTGGCCATCTACGGAGCGGGGGACTTAGCCAGCAAGCCACGTGTGGCCCGTGCTGGAGTTGTAGCAAGCCACGTGTGGCCCGTGGTCGATGCTGGGATTGTCATCCTCTCCGTTAGCTAGCATTACATAAACAGATGGTACACGCCTTCTTTATTCTTACTCCTCGCGTTATTTGACAGTCTCTGCATAGCTTCATAGATCTCTGAAACTGAAGCCAGAGTCCCTGCTCTTTACACTTTTCAGGGAAGACATAAAACAGTTGACTCCCAGAACCCTTGAATCAGTGTGCCCCATGGCCAGAAGGACTGGAAGGAATTTCAAATGATTTTCAGTGTGATGAACAGTATGCATTTTTAGAAGTCTGTAAAGGACTTCAGCTACAGAGTGAGCTAGTTTGTATTCTGTGGTTTCTGTGTGGGTCACATAGCACGGGTGAGCGCACACACAGCATGCACGTGTCTCACATGTGGGTCATTGGGTGCTTTCCCCCTTTTGTTTGAGACATGGTCTGTTACTGGTCTGGAACCTTGCACATACTGATGAAAAAACTAAAGAGAGAGATTACATACTTCATCTAGATATTGATCTACACCTGTAAACCTGGAGGAAAAACATACCGCCACAGCATTCTCAAATCCTCACACATCCTGAGTGAATGATGGGCATTCTATGCGCATGTCTCAGCATTATAAAACAACATGGCTAATGACGGGTCCTTAAGGGACCACCCTTGGACCTGCCTGTCTTTGCCTATGTCTTCCAGCACTTGGCTTTTCCATGGGTTCCTGAAATCCAAACTCAGGTACTCAAGGCTCCCCAAGACAAACTCTGATCACACATTCTTTTGTTAATTTGTTTTATTTTAATAATAAAGCACCATTGAATACAAAGAGGGATGTTGACAGTACCTCTCTGTAACTGTATGTCGACCCCTCCTCCTTCTTCCATAAGGCAGTGACCACTGAATCCTGCATCATTCTTGTGTCTTGTAAAATGCAGATTTATCACATTTGATTTCCAGACTGTATAATAAAAACCAGGTGTTCATGCCCTGTCTCTTGGAACAATCTTTTTGTGGTATATGCTTTATAATTCATGTTGTGTGTCCCTAGGTTTTCAATGGCTGCATTACAGCCCATCTTGGGAGTAGGTCCCACTTTTCCCTTCTGCCATTGGAGGATGAGTGCCTGGGTTATAGTGGGGTCAT